CCCCGGAGCAAAGCCGCGGAGGGGGCGGGGTCCTGCGCCTCTGCGGCTTTGCTCCTGTCTCCCTGCTGTGCTGGGGGAGTCCAGTACTTTAAGATAGTAATTTTCTTTCCATAAAATCAAGCTTTTTTCAAAAAAAAAAAATTCCTCTCTGCTTGTACTACTTAGCAGTATTTAAAATGTGATGTTACTAAAAAAAAAATCTTCCAACCTTATAGAAAGAAATGATATAATCCATTGATGATTACAGAAATGCAAAAGTGGATTTGGGAGAAATCAAAGATAGGAAACCAGTGATCTGCAATATTAAGACTGGAGCTGTCTAGTTCATATTTACATCTTGTAGCTTGATCCTGCAACTTTTTCAAGTATAAGTTGTCCTGTTGCCTTTAGTGGAACTATTCATATGAATAAAAATTACTAGATAAGGCCAATGTATATGTGTAGAAAATTCATTAAGTCCTTATCATTATAAACATAGATCATATGCTCATCAAAAAAACTAAGTAAAGGAGCAATGTGTTTTTTATGGTTCTGATCTGTTCTTCAATATTTGTCAGCATTTCCAAGAAATCTGGGTCTATTAATAACATTGCCACTCATTTAAGTGCATCTGTCTGTCTCTCTTTGTTTTGCACTGCCACTTTTCTCAAAGCAATTGCTGTTGTCTTACCAGGATGATATCACTTCATTACTCAAACAAGAAAAAATTAATTTGCTGTCTGGCGTCCGAGCCTTTGGAGTGCAACTTCTTCCCATTTTCTAGCTTTCCTCTGCAACTGTGAGGACTACAAATACAATTTTTAAGAAAGGTGAAAGCAGATATTGTGATGCAAACTCTTGTTTCTGGTGAGAGTTTAAGAAAAGTAATGCAAGTCTTATAATGCAATCGTAAAAGGTGGCAAGACTGGAGAAGGGGAAATGGACAACACAGCCTGGGTCTCACCATACTGATACAAAACTGTTCTTTACCTGGGCTGGCTGATAATTTCTGAAGGAAAATGGACCTTTGACAAAACAAGCCTTTTCTATGAAAAATGTTTCCTTTTCTTAAAAAATAAATCTTTTTTTATGAGTAGGATTTTCCACTAGGGTATGTCTAGACTACATGGCTCTGTCGACGGAGCCATGTAGATGAGTTTACTAGACATAGGAAAATGAAGCGGCGAGACAAAGGCTTCCCTTGTCAACTGCAGAGTGTTCAGGCTACCGCGCTATCAAAATGGCCACCATGCTGTGTCGATCAGCTGTTTGAGGTTTACCGGAGCAGCCGACAAAGGCTTCCCTTGTCAACTGCAGAGTGTTCAGGCTACCGCGCTGTGCTGCCAAACAGCTGATCGGCACAGCACGGTGGCCATTTTGATGTAAATGAAGCGGCGATTATTTAAATCGCCGCTTCATTTTCCTATGTCTAGTAAACTCATCTACATGGCTCCGTTGATGGAGCCATGTATTGTTTCCTACATCTTTACTGTAATATTGTGCTGCTTTCTTTCAGATGTTCCTTCAACATCAATAGGAACTGTATCACATCCCATGCTGCCTAAAACTCACTCCTACAGTTTTTAAAAAAATGGAGGTAAGGGAAAATTAGCAGGGAGGAACGTACAAAAGATTTTTACTCTAGTTTGTTCATGGATAACAAGTAGAGCTGGTGAAGGAACATCTAAAAGAAAGCAGTACAATATTACAGTAAAGATGTAGGAAACAATAATCAGAATCCCTCATATTATAATAGATTCACCGTGCATAATGCGTGGCCCCGGCCCCAGAGAAGCTGCACTGCAGCCCCGACTCCAATTCCGGCAGCTACCATCTCTCTAGCCATTGCAAAATGCTGTTAACAACAGTTAATTTGTGGCAGGTCAGGTTCTGCCATCTTTGAGGACAGCAGCAGTTGCTCTTTGCCAAGGAACCATTCCTGCCACCATTTATTACTGATACTGTGTAGCATTGCAGCACAGGCCTTTAAGAAAAACAGCTTATTGTTTAGACTTTGCATGTTATGTGTAGGGGATGATGTCTTTTTACTTTATCTGTAACTGATGTCATGATACAGTACATTGGCACTTAGGGTCAGCCATAATAATAAGGATGCTTGGGTGAAACCTCTGAATTAACAGCTCTATTTTGTCTTTGTGATTGGGAAAGGGCTGTTTTAGTATTCTTTCTTCCATAAACATTTAAAATATGTGTTAGTAACTGGTGGGTGCCATGGTGGCACACATTTGAACAAGCACACATGAACTCAATATTGGTGTCTCAGGGATGGAAAATCTTAGAGGGAAAGCTGATTAACACTGCACTTTTTCAGTTTGTCATTCATTGAAATTTTACATCATTTCATCCCCCTATTTCCCTCTCAAATATTTTGATCTTCATAAAGCCTATTAAAGTGTATTTAACTTTACAGGTGATCAAATCTGCTTCTGATGGATGAATTATTTATTAACAAATATGTTTTCTTTTTCTTTACTAGTTTCTGAAGCAGTTAGGTATACATCCTGACTGGCAATTCGTAGATGTGTATGGTATGGATCCAGAACTTCTTAGCATGGTGCCAAGACCTGTCTGTGCAGTGCTGCTTCTCTTCCCAGTAACAGAAAAGGTAAATATTTACTATTGATACCTAGTAATTCAAAGTCAGCAGATGAGTCAGAATGCCCATCATACATAATATAAAATCTGTAGTTCTCTACATCAGTGAAATAGTTAAGGATACTTAAAAAAACTCCACGATTTTTAGAAAGTCCCTCTTGTTTTTGATACATTGTGTTGTCAAATAAGTTTAATAAATAAGTTTATTAAAACAAAACTGTACAACTGCAAAAGTATTTAAAATGATAGATATTTTAGAGGATATTCTTCGGTATTTATTTTTGCAGTATTTATATCGCATTAAGACATGAATATAGTGGTGAGCTAGGATGAAAATATCAAACAGCTATACAGCTGCTCTCCGAGTTACGAACAAGTTACGGATCAACATTTGGTCCGTAATTCGAAGTGATCGTAACTCGGATCCCATAGAGTTACATGGCGACTGCGCTGTTTGTAAGCACGGATCACCGTTTGTAACTCGGATCTGCATTTACAACCGCTTTGGTCGTAAGTGCGGATGGTCTAAGTGGAGGTGGTCGAAACTTGAGGAGCGGCTGTATATAAAATATGTATTGATTTAGTAGTATCATACTGAAGTCCAAACTTTAACCACTGTCTAGAGCAGTGTTTCTCAACCTTTATAAAAAAAAAAGTACCCCTTCTTCAAAAGTACCCCCTTTTTCAAAAATTATAAGTACCTCTAGTACCTACAGTTTTCAGACACAGAATTTTTTGTACCATTGCAACACATTTGTTTAAACAACTTAATCATAGCTGGGTGGGCAATTAAAAAGTACAAAAATAATAAATCGTAGTAAAACTTAAAACAAAAATTCAGTTTTCTCCAAATTTGAATTGTGTTGATGTACCCCCCCAGACTTCTCTCATGTACCCCTAAGGGTACTCGTACCACTGGTTGAGAAACACTAGTCTACAGAAGTCTGTGTCTCCATCATTGTTTTCATTCCTTAGACCGATTGGGCATGTTAGCTACTGAGACAGAATTAGGAATTATCTTTGGTTTTGATTTGTGTTTTTTGTCATGGGTTAAATTGTACATCTTTCCCCAGCCCCCATTCCAGGCTATGCACTAATCAGTAAACATGTAAATATAGACTCTAGAGTTAACATATGTGGTAGGCAGTTTTTGAAATATTTTAATGATGGCTTTAAATATTTTCAATCTGTGAAATTTTCAGGCTACTGAGTACATCTCATGCAATTATGTATTTGACCTGAAATATATGCACTGAAACATAACTTATATTTATTTCTTCTTGGAGTGAGTCAGGCTGCTCCTCTTTTCTGTTGTCAGTATAAATCAGATGTTACATGTCAGCTATATAAAATCTTGCCATAATATCTAGGTGCTAAAATTTTAATAAAGCTGTTAATATCTCAAACAGAAGTGTCTATTTTTTCATGTCTTCTTAGCACACAACTTTTCTCATAAGGCATTCTGAATAACTGGAAATATTAAATATAAGTAAAGAAATGGTCATAAAATTGCCACATTACTAGTCATGAATTAATGTAAAATTTGCATTACGAGAAAAATGTTGGGCCAGTAACTCACAGGAATACTTCTCTGGCTACTGAAGTGAAAGAAGTAGATGACTTCTTCAGGGGTGCTGGAACAATTTGTATAATGGGAATGCTGAAAGCCATTGAACAAATCTGTAAGGCTATGTATAAAATTAAAATCCGTTCAAGCCAGGGGGTGTGATGGCATCCCTAATTCTAGCACTTGTGGCCTTCGGTATGCACAATTCTGTTGATGTTTGAGTGAGATCATAATCACATACTGCAGAACTGTTGTGCTTACTAGGAATATTAAAATGTAACCAATGAGCCTGGCTTAATTGGTTAATGTTCATGGTTACACGCAGGCGACTGGTACATGTTGGGAACCAGCTTAAAAGCCAGCTCCTTGCATGCCCTGGGCCCCACGCTGCTGTCTCTGATACAAAGGCAGCAGCCTGAGTGGACTGGAGGGAGCCAGTGCAAGTGAGAAGCCAGGTTTTAAGCTGGCTCCCCACATGTACTTACTCCCGTGGAACCACCTGTCCCTTCCCTATCCTGCGCTGCTTGCCAGAGCGCAGGGGGGGAAGCCAGGCGTGAGCCCCCTGCATGTAACCGCTGACCTTTTCAGAGGTTACCCAATTATTTAAAGCATTTTAACGTCCCTACTACATATGTTTATCTGCTCTATGCTATTAGTTTCATAGCTGATCATTGTGAGGGTTTCAAGAATCTTTCACATAACTAGCAACTGAAGAAGTCTCAGAATTTGATTGGGCTGTTATTTTAAATTGAGAGTAGCAGAAGTATTTCTAAGGCCATCTTATTAAAAATGAACTTATGAAAGAAGTTTGGCTTATTTAACCATTGTGGTGCTTCAGTGACAGTAGCAGGGAACCTCCATTGAGATGGACATTCATGGTTATTTTCAACAGAAGGGAGAAGTCATGGACTAATCAGCAATAAATCATCTTCGCAGACCAGACATCCTTTCTGCCTGGGTCCAGTTCCTTTTACCAATTCAGTCTTGTGTCCAGCAGCCATCTTGGGTAAAGTATCTGGGGGAATTGATGACCTGGATTACTTCACTCCCCACCCTTAAATAGCATTTGTTTAAGATGGGAATCCATTGTATCCCAAACCTCACCAACCCCCCCACTTCCTTTTTGTGGAAAAATACAGATCCAAGATGGATTTCAGCATCAGGTGACATGGTCCAAGTTGTTGAGGAGCCAGAAGCCATTTCTTACATGCTGACCCTCACGCTTGCAGGAAAACCAAGTTCATTGTCTTTTGCTAATCGGACATTAATCTTGAATCTGGCTTTTTCATTGTTGTTCCTGATGCTCTGGTACAAGCTGTCCTCTCTATAAGTCCAAGATACATTCGAAAAAACTTGGACTTATAGCAAAACAACTTTAAGTGGGGAATTTTTTTCCCATGTCTGACTTCCATTTGGTGGGGGGCTTTTTTGCGTGACTTGGGAGCAGGGTATGGGAGGACTTATAACTCATCAGTTCCTACAAGCATCAACAGCTTACCGTATTTTCCGGCGTATAGGGCGACTGGGTGTATAAGACGACCCCCTATCTTTTTAATTAAAAGATAGGGTTTCATCTTATACCCCAGCGCCCCTCCGCCTCCTTTGCTCCCGGTGTCCCTGGTCTGCTGGAGATGGTCCCCAGCAGCCCAGAGGCACCGGGAGCAAAGCCGCCAGGAGCGCCTGGGATGCCCCCCCGCCGGCTTCCCCCGAGGCTTTCCAAGCCGCGGAGGGGCTCCGGCCGGGGGGGGAGAC